AGATATAAATAAATTTATATAAGATAGAAAGAAATAATTAGAGAATAAATAGACATAGATAAAGAGAAATAAATAATAAATCTCATAGATGATATCTCCAGATAAATAAAGAAGATATAGAGCGAGATATAGAGAAGAAAAATATTCAGAAAGATATCCAGAGAAATAATAAATATTTATATTCAGAAAATACGATTTCAGAGCTTATAATACTAAATATAAAATTTCATTTGCACGAGCATATCTAAAAAAAATTCGAATTTTAAATAATCAATATATCTCTAATCAGACGCTAATCATATTTTTCAAATATAGAAAATATAGATTAAGAGAGTATTAAAACCTTGGCAGAAATTATTCAGATTTTTTTCATAATTTCATAAAATCAATAAGATAAATATTAATGTATAGATATCAAGCTAACCATATCTATATTTCGAAGAAGAAATTCGAGATAAACCATTTTTTAATAGAAAAGATCTATTATATAAATATCTCAAAATAATAAATTTTTGAATAATAAAATCGAAATATCTAATATGAATATATGAATAATATTTATGGCTAAATTTATTTACCAAAAGAAATTCTATTCGATAATCTTATCTGCTTCATATATAATGAATAATAGAAAAAGTATTTAATATATCTTCGTATTCAATTTTGTTTTTTTATAGATTCGTCTAAGCAATATTTCTAGATTCCGAGAAATGATGTCTATTTATCGTAAAGAATACGATTTCTGTCAATTAGCCAGGTTGAAATACGAGGGATAGTGCAATTCAAGCTCTTGATATCTTATTTCTGTCTCAGCCTGGTGTACCCCTACAGACTTGCCCTGCAAGAGCATCTTGAGCAGATGCTCCATGCACAAACACGACACCTCTGTGTCGTAACTAACGTTATCTCGGTTGCTTGGCTTTACTGTATGGACTTTCCTTGCCAGGATACTAGCTTCAAGTGGTCAACACACGGCAGAAGGCTCAGTCTGTCGTCGCTCAAGCCTCAGAGTATGCACAGCGCAGGAAATGAGAAAGATCAGGGGACCGACCTTCCGAAATGCTGAAAGACACTTGCCCTTGACCCTTATGCCCGCCAAGACTCTGCCGGTATTGTTCCAAATACATGTGCGCTCTGCAAGAGGAGCTTTGCCTGAGGTCATCTGCATGCCATGGTCGCGCTTTCCCTCATGTCAGCAGTCCAAAACTGCCAGACAAAGAACTACAACAACCAAAGATGGGATCGGATAACAAGCTGGATAATTAGGTTTGCGAATCGGCAAACTCCGAACTAACGAAACCAGTTCCAGTTTTGGAATTCCACTGAGTGCAGTACCACTTCATGATGGCCGTGGACGTTTGCAAGCTCCAGTGCCGATGCCCTCGCTCGCACGGAGACGAAGGTGGCATCCAGGATGGTGCGAGCCACTTCCATGTGGCCTTTGTCGGCAGCAAACATGAGAGCCAAAGAGCAAGGGCCGTCTGCGCCGTCCGAGCGCTTCGTTGCAGCCAGCAAGAGCTTCACGCTCTGAAGATGACCGCTGAACGCCGCGTACACAAGTGCTGTCCTCCCCTCGTTGTCCTTTCGCTCCGTGTCTGCGTGGTGTTCGAGGAGACACTGCAGAATGTCAACCTTGCCGTTGAAGGCCACGTGCATCAGAGCTGTCCATCCCCTATCATCCGCGCATTCAATGTTGGCTCCCTTGGACAACAAATACTTCGCCACCGGTAGGTGGCCGTTGTAAACCGCAGCGATCAGTGGTGTCCATCTGTCATGGCTGAGTGCATTGACATTAGCTCCTTGCTCGATTAGCAAACGAGCAAGAGCTACATGGCCGTAGGTGGTGGCATACATCAAAGCAGTGCATTTGCAGGAGTCCGTGGCATCCACCGGAAGGCCCGCACAAAGCAAGGTGGAGGCCCGGACGAGGTCGCCATCACGGGCTGCGTGCATCAAGTCTGTGCGGCCCGCCTCATCTGTGGTAAATTCTACCCTTCGCAGGACCGCCATGGGCTCCGCCGCTTCATCGGGAGACTGGGCCCTGCCCCCTCGCGACTTCTTCAGTCCTTTGGAAGCACTTCGGTTGGAGTTCAAGGGCTGACGATTCTCACTTCCTCGCCGCTGACGGTCCTGGCTGGAGGATCGGCCAAAGGGAGGTGTGGCAGATCGGGGTCTCCCTGCACAAGAGCCCACGCTATGCCTTGAAGGTCGGCCTATGGACCCGGCTGGCCCAGAGAGAGGGGTCACCGACGGCTTATCCCTGTTGTTCATCCATGAGCTTGGGATCCGACTGGGGCAAAGGGCCGGAACCGTGGGAGTCACGGGGGTGCGGCCTCCAAACCTGTCGCTTCTCGTGTCGCTTCCCAGTCGAGAGCTCGTTCTTGGATATGCAACACCCGGGGCTTCGTAACGCACAGGGCTGCCTGTGCGAGGGTGTAAGATGCCCAATTCAGACAGCGTGCCGTGGTTCCTAGTGCCCACACTCCTGCGTGTCGGCGCCGTTTGCGCAAAGAGTGGCATGGGACGAAGGAGGCGCGGTGAAATCTCTGGTGATCGAAGCCGGGTGAGGCGCACTAACGGAGAGTTGTTCTCTGGGGAGGGGCTGCGCAGTGCATTTCTGCGGCTCGGGGGCAAGACGATGACCTTGTGCTTGAGCGTCGGCTCCCGCGCTTCCTTTGCGCTTGGAGCGTCCAGGAGGCTGGCAAATGCCTCGGGGGCTTCCCGGTACCTCCCAGACCAAGGTTCGCAAGGCAAAGGTTCAACATCCTCGCTCGCACTCACCTTGGGCGAGACACTGCCATCAGTTATGCTAGTCTTCATGATGCCTGCTAGCTCGGCTAGGTCTCTGGCCAATGTATCGCTGGTGGACACCGCCTCCAGATCACCTTGATTCGGAATCTCTTCGGCATCTGCAGGAAGCGGAGACATCAGCTGCAGAAGCGTTCGCCTGCAAAAGCTCTGCCTGCATTGTCGACACTCTCGTCCAAGCAGTCCTGCCAAGGAGACCGGCCGCATGCAAATACCACAAGAGTGGCTTCAAACCGGGACCGAGGGAACATCCTAGCTGTCATCATTCTGATCTGCATAGAGGTCCTCTTGCGACGGACCCTCCTCTGATCCCGGACCTCTGCGGTACGAGAGCCGCAACAAACAACATGCAAACAGCCAACTGACTTCCCTCATACGTATACGGTAACTTCCAACTCTCTACCAGTGCCTTGGTCAATTCGACCAGCAGGGGCTGTACTTTGAACAGGGGGTCCCCCACTCAGAAGGCTCGTTATGGTGCGGAGCAAAACAGAACCTTTCTTCTTGTGGCACCCCCGATGCGTTGCGAAAGCTTCTGGATCCCTGAGCTGCGCATGCAATCTCTGACTCCAACTTCCCGAAGCCGGACTCTGAACAGGCTCTGACACAACCCACCAAGCCCTAAACCCTACAGGCCCTAAATCCACCAAACCCTATAAGCCCTAACCCCCCCCCCCTGTGGGCCGAGCTCTGTAGGTCGGACATGACCTCGTTGAAAGGGGCTTTGATCAAGGAAAATTCTGGAGGGCTTGGAAGCAGGAAGCAGCCGAAGTACCCAAGCAATCAAGCGAGTGCTCAACCCACGTCGATGCTCCCTACTTGGAGGTTCGTGGGTAGTTATACGTGAGGTAACTGTACTTATGATCCATATTAGGGGACTTATAACTCCACTTATATCTACCCATGAACCTCCAAGTATGCTTCTCTGAAATGTGGCAGGGCTTGTTGGGCCACATTGCGCTCGAAGCTATCAGCTAGCAGACAGTTCGCAGCAAACGGTCGGGTCTGGCATGAGGTGGGTGCATAGTGGTGGAGCCTTACACGTTCTCGCCTTGCGGAGGATACTGGAATCATGGAGCCCATGCAAGGGAACCGGAATTCTGCCCTTCGCATGTCGGCAGCTCTGATCCTGCAGCCCTGGAGCGTCTGGGCTTCGGACAATGCATGCCAGTCGCGTTTCCGCGAATGGCGGGTAGGGCCCGGGGCCTACCTCCAAGTTCCAGCTTGCCGAAACAGCAGCAGTGCGACGACTGTTGAGTCCTACCAGTAGAACTTCTCCGCTGCGGCTGACACGACCCTGACTGCCACAGCTGCGTGCTACTCGAGCAAAGGCCGTGCATGCTGCCGTCTGACAAACAAAATTCAAGCGCAAATCTTTGTATGCAGGGGCCTCCTTTCAAGCGACCACACGGGTCTGGAATTCAGCAGAAATTCAAGTTGCCGCTGCGGACTCGAAGAGCACAAGGATGCAGGATCACGGTGGCTCTGCCACACCTTCTGAAACTTGGAGTTGCCAGAAAATCAGTGTGTATCAGCTCAGCATGTTCAAAAGGTGTAAGCGGAGCCATCGGATCCACCTTGGCCTTGGGGCTGATGCTGTCATAATCCGAAACAGACCTCACGATCACCTTTCTGACAACACGAGGTATTCCAGACTGCATCAGCCGGTCATCAGAAGACATTAACAAAGCCCAGCCAGGCCACACCGGCCTTCTGGAACGCCAAACATCCACCATGAAAAATGCAAGTACTGCGAGTCGCTGGCAGGAATCTTCCCCAGTTCCAGGGACGGTGGGGCTTGGACTTGGACGGAGCCGACTTAGCCGGCCGACCAAAAAGTTCGCTCACATCTGCGGAGGATGATTCTGGATCCACTTCTTCTCTACGGCTGTGCCAGAAGAATCAATCATTCCTCTGCAGGACATGGGACTTTCCGAAAATAAGGGATACCTTATTTGGGGGTCCTTATAATAAGGATCCCATTATCTAGGCTACTATATTCGTTTTCGGAAACCCCCCACATTCGGCAGCTGCCGAAGGCTCAGCGTGGCCATGCGCCTGTCCGGATCGCGGCACTTCGGGAAGCCGCCCGTGGCGCCTCCGGAGGCCTCCACGACCCCACGCAGCAAAGAGAGGCGGGCTACTGCTAGCCACTTGGGGGTTTCCGAGAATAGGGGACCCTAATAGAGTATCCTAGATAATAGGATCCTTATCATAAGGATCCCCAAAATAGGGTATCCTAGTTTTCGGAAACTCCCACTTTTTGACATGTAGGTAGTTCTCTAAATCAGGGTCCCTTTTAGGGTCCTTTTTATAAGGGTGCCGGACTATGTTGGGGACCTAAAAGGGGACCCTAATTTAGAGAACTACCCACTTTGACGTGTGCTAGCTGCTGGTAGCTCGGGACCTCTGCACGGTGTCGTTGCGCTGCGCAGCCTGGCATCTTTCTCCGAGCTCTCGGAAAAGCGGAGGCTTTCCCTGACCAATTTCCGATATCCTCTTGTACAGCGGCCAAACCAGTAAACACAGCCAAGTGCCTGCAGAAACCCTCGAATCGGGCGAATCGTGCTGCACGCCAAGGGTAGGAAGCCCCAAACTGGGAAGCGGGGGCCCCGGTTTTGCCCCCTCGTACGCAACTCGCACGCACAAAGCGGCAACTGCTGGATATTGCTGGGTTCAATTCAAGCAACGCCCTAAAACCGAAAAACCTTAAGGACGTGAAACCCCGTCCGAAACCTGCAACCCTGAAGCCCCTAAACTCCGCTTAGGTTCCAATGCGTGAATCGGCTGGTGCTTGAACGGCGAGTGCTCGAATCGAGCGGCTTGAATCGCTTGTGCTTGAATCGGGATTGGTTCTTGAATCGTGCGTGTTGGAATCGCAGTGCAAGTGCTCGACCTAAGTCCTTCTGGGGCTGCTTTTGCCACTCAGTCACCAGCCCTCGGGCCTTGGGAGGGGTCTTGGCGCTGTCACTCGCCTTTGCTGGAGGCGGAGTGGTGCCTGCACAGCAACAAACCTAACATAGGGGCCTATACTATTTTGGGCTTTCCATATTCTAGTTATAATATGATAATATGCCCCAAAACCCTGAACTGCCCTGCCATGGCCTCTGCCTTCGCACATGCTTGGACCTTGAATGCACCGCAAAGGTTGTGAAGCTGGGTTCTTGTCTTCCACTGAAAATTGAGTTACCATGGCAAGGAAACCATGTCAATTCATAAGCTACTATAGATCCCTATTACGGTAGCTTAAAACTAGAATTCTGTTGCAAGAACCCAGTTGTGAACCGGACCTCGGTCTGCTTTCGAGAAAGCCGCCCTCGGGGTTGAAGCCTTTCCCGGCGCTCGAGGCGTTGCCTGCGAATCGCTGGTACATGATGGCCCCCCAGAAAAAACTCTGGGGCATTCGTGTTTAAACATGGCCCATTGAAGAGGCACTCGTAGTTATAGAAATACATAAATATGAATACATGATTAATACATATATATATATATATATATATATGTATGTCACCATGTAAATCTATATCCGTAAAAATGAACTTGGGGATCCACTGTGCTGTTATATTAGGTATGCGGAGTACTTCCAGAAAGAAACGCCTTTTGCATTCTGAACTGGAGAGCACGAGAGCTTCGAGATGTTGTCACCAATGTAGATTAGAAATTTGATAAGTCTCAAAACACTCTCAACCAACGCAGGATGATTTTGTGCTTTCTCCACGTGCGAAAGCACATCTTGCCTTGGGCGTCTTGTCTCGTTCCGGAGGAGATGCTTTCGTCGGTGGAGTATTTGCTCCTCCAGGGGAATTGGCTTCCACGATTCTTGTAGTACCGGGCTCAGCGGCGACACCGAACCCGTTCTTCTAACATGCATTGGTTTACTTGCCCCGAAACTTCCGACGAAGGGTTCCTGCGATGAAGCGACTTTGGGTCTTGAGGGAAAGCCACGCCAGTGACAGGGCTTAGCCGAGGGAAGGCAGGCTCCGATGCTCCTCGCTCGCTCGGCATCGTCCCGCTTGGACGCAAGCCCGCCTCGTGGAGCGAACGCTCTTACCAGGCGGCACACCTCAGCCTCATACTTGAAGTGCTTTCCAAGGTGTCGGCCTGTGCATTTGGCGGAGGCGTTTTCGAGCGCGGCGGAGGTGTGGCGTCCCTGTTGGGACCTGTGGGTCATGCACTGCCATCAGCTCAATGGTGCGAAGCAAAACAAGGAACAACGATAGTCTGAAATGCCACCAATGCAAGCTGAGCAGAAGAATCCGGCCTACTTTCGGCGAGCAAACGGCCGTGGCTCTTGCTGCACGACCCTGCGAGCGTGTATCAGCCTTGGGCATCCGGGTGCACTGGGCATGCTCCGCGGCAGCTGGCAGCCAGGAAAAAGCATGGAGTGGAGACAGCTCCAAGGAGTATAATGTGTGGAGTTTTGCCGGTGACGACGTGCGAAGCCAAGAGACCTCTTCCGGCGCACGCGTGGGCGCGAGTCGATCACCTGCAAAGGTCGAAGCCCGACATCCCAGGCAAATTCCGGATGCTTGGAGGTTCATGGGTAGTTATAAGTGGGGTTATAAGTAGGGTAACTGTAATTATAACCCATATTAGGGGACTTATAACTCCACTTATAACTACCCCTAAACCCTAAACCCTATAGAACCCTTTAAAGGAACCCTTAAAGGAACCCCATAACTCCACTTATAACTACCCATGAACCTCCAAGTACAGTCTGAGTCCCCGGCTTGTGCATGCGCCTCTGGCTTTGGTGCCATCCACTGGGCTGGCGACCGCTCGTGGCGTGTGCGGCTTGGGGCTCTGGACGCGCTTTGCCTCAGAAGCAATCAGCAATGCAAAAGAATGCCATGTGCTGCAAACAAAGCAACAACTTTCTTCGAGATGAACGGATAATAGTAATAATATATCATACGACAATATACTATACCATACTATACTATACTTTACTATACTATGGTATAAAAAAGTATAGTACACGGGAAGGCAGGCTGCGCCAGCTGCGACCAGATCTTCAGCACGCGGAGCACGGAGACTGTCCTTCGCTGCACCACCTGCATTCGAGGTCACGTGGGAGTTTCCGAAAACAAGGGGTACCTTATTTTGAGGTCCTTATAACTTTCGGAAACCCTCCACGTCCCTGCTGGCTTCTTTTGATGGTTATAGTTAACCTATAGGTACGCTTTCACATGTCCTCCTGCTGGTAGTGATATTTCTAAGTACTATCATTAATATTCTTGTTGATAACAGGGTCATTCTTATGATTGTATTATTCGTATTACGAGTAGTATTAGTATGGTCATTATTGTTCGTGTTGGTGTTGTTACCAAGATTCTTATCACTTTGCTGCTGTTGTTGCTGTGACTATTACTACGTACTAGTATAGTTTGGGTATTATTTTTCTTGTTGTTATTGTTCTTGTTACTATTATGATCAATCTTGTTACTGTTATTATTGCTATTACTGTTGCTGTTGCAATCGTCCGGACTAACGATTGCAGCAAACGCTTCTGGGCATTGCCTGGTCTGCCGGAAGTAGGCTCCGCCACGGGAGTGCAGGCGGCCTGGCGGTGCGGATGCTATGAAGCGAGTAGTAACAGAATCCACATGGGTAGTTGTCAAAATTATGGTCCCTTTTGGCTTGGGGGTACCCTAAATAATAGGTGCCGTATTATAATAAGGACCCCAAAAAGGGACCATAATTTTGACAACCACCCACATGGAAACAGCAACGGAATCCCAACTTCCAAAAGCTCGTGGCTCGCGTCCGCCAAACTGCAGCCGAGCGGCTGAAGACCTCGGCGCCGAAGATGCACGCTCTTTGCCTGGCATTTGCGCGGCTTGGATGTGATTCCGAACATCACAGCTTCAAGTTGCACAAGTATCCAGCAGAACACGACTTGCTTGCTGCTGCCTCCATTGCTGTTCCCGGCGCGTGTCTGAGAACGCTGTCTTGGCGTCTGTCTCCGTGACGGCGAAGCTGCCTTCGCACACGTCTCAGCTCGCTTGTACAAGCGGCCGTAGGCTACAGCCAAGATGCCGCGGATGGCTCTGATTGGAGCTTGCTCCCTGGCACGACGGCGGCAAGCTTCACATTATCCATGCTCCGGGGGACAGGGGCCGAGCCTGCTGCCAGTGGGGAGGTTGCTCTGGGCACAGGCACAGGGCTCTGTGCACGCCGCAGGGCCTTTGCATACAGGCGGGCAGATGATGTTGCGCATCGGTCACATGCGGCAGCTACTTCAGACTAGCAGCAGTGCCAGATGGGGGTCCCTGAGCCAGCCCTTCGTTTCCTGAGTCACAGCGAGAAGATTCTGCGCATGGTCCCGCCAGTCGAAGATTCATGACGACAACTGGATCCTCGTGCCGACATTGTTTGCCCGGCGGTCGTCGGCACGTGCTCTCTTCGCCATTTTTGGTTCGTGACACGACAAGCCTACACACTGCACCCTATGAGCTCCCGGAAGAGGCATGATCGAGTGCCTGAGGCCTGCACTACTAGTGCGGTTGAGCGCAACCGTGGGAATCTTGGGCTGATGTCTGCCTGACCCACCTCCTCACGAAACCAAGAACTGCTCGCAGAGGAACGCAGCTCGCAGGCTCCGGGATGTCGAAGTACCACATCTCGCTGCAAAGACGATCCTAAACCCTACAACCTGAAACCCTAAACCCATAGACTATACTACATTGGAATATCTTTAAAGTATAGTAAACTGTACTGTTGCCGCACGATTTGCCCCAGGTCCTGGTAGGAGGTCTCTCTCAGGTAGGCACTGTCCAGGCCTCAGAGCAAGAACCGAAGCTGCACTGTGTCTTAGCTTGGACCTGCATTCGGATTCTACATTGCTCCACGGCAATGTTAAACAATTCGCTGCTGTAAGCGACCAGTCGGAGCAGTCACGAACAATGAATGCCGGATGGATGGTACCGGGTCTCGAGCAGCACCAAGGCAGAATGAGCTGGCAATGGAGCCTTGGAAGGGAGATGGCTTCCAAAACTCATGGCAAGAGTCGTGAACTGAAGTCCAGAAGCTTTCACACGCTAGGTTTGCTTTGATCAGTTTTGTTGTGAAATTCACAGAACTTGGTCGTTGTAGCCATCAGTTCTATGATGGGGCAAAGCTAAATGACTTGACCAGCTCCTGCAAATCTCAAGAGATGTGCGTGCGCACTGCTTGTCACTTCTCGACTCCTTGCACACAATACCCGCATAAAAATATTTTCGTCCCGATAATTGTGACGGCTTGTAGCTGCACCAGAGCAGCTCCTTTAGCTTCCAGGGGTGTTCAGGGCCCTGCTTCCTGCGCCATCTGCAGCTCGTCGACGTCTGCCGTAGCGGCCCCTCTTTGATGACTCCTGCTGCTTCGTGTAAACACCAACACTGACTTGCCTTTGCATTTGTAGGCTTCGCGAAATGCTGCTAGCCTAGGCGAAACCCTTTCAGTTTGGGATAGTCTTAGAAGTTGGAAGAGAGCTCAGCTGTGCCCTTATTTCTTTCATGATTTTTATGACTCATCATGGGACCATGATCCTCCGAAATACGACTTGTGATCTGCACCCTGATACCTGCATTCCTTATGACTCACCATGAGAACAGCACCCCTCAAACATCCTCATCCTCATTCGCCTCACCTTTTTCAGGATCACCATCACAATTATGGCCATCAACACGACCGTCATGGCCTGGCGCTGTTGGGAGCCTTCTGCGGAGTAGGCGTCCTTTGGGCCGAAACCTGCATTCGCACTGCCACAGAAGCTCAGCTTCCAGTAGGAGCGGCTGGCCACTTCCTGCTAACGGTTTACGGCTCGTACAGCAGCGCTCGAGGCAACCATTCCGCCTTGTTAGAGGTGCAGAAACCACGTTTGTTTGAAAACGTCTAGGTTCTAGATTCCAAAGTCGAAGGAGGGATTGCCAGGAGTGACTGAAATCCTTACGTGCTACCTCTCGTGATCGACTTGCTTGACGAGCTTAACCTCGGCTGGGCCGATGTTTGATCCTCTGTGTGGTGAGACGTGAAAGCATGTGACGGCACCTGGCGCTTGCATTGAGGGGCTTTCGCGGCCAACTGACGCTGAGACCTGATCCAGTGTCAGTTTGGACGCACAAACTTAAGTTCCGGCTCTGCCTACCCATGCCAGCACCTGCATGCTTGCAGTTTTCACGCAGGTTTGGGCCCCTGCATCTCCAACTCCTCCTTCTCGTGGCATTTCTGGCGACGGTCCGTGATGCTCTGTACTCGTGTACATGTGCTCCTGTACCCTCCGGTCCCGATGGTGACATGCTTCCAAGTGTCTTCGGGCTACAGCTATGCCTTGGCCAGCACTACGAGTATCTTAAGCACACTCTCTTGCTTCTGGCTGCAAGCTGCCCCAGGTCCTGCCAGAACTTGCGATCTTCGTCTCGGCGGGTAGCATCGCTGTACAGCATCTCGAACCTCCATGAGGTTGCTGAGTCGTTGTTGCAAACATCAGAAGCGCACGCACCCCAAAGACGGCTTCATCACCATTCACGGCCCATCATGCCCGCCATATCACCAGCATCAGCATCAGTAGCTCGCCGTCATGCACCAGTGAGACGCAACACTCACAGAACAGAATGACCCACCACTGCCCACCACCAAGGCTCCCTCAAAGCAACAAGTGGGGTTTTGAACCTCGAAGGCCCCGCCGAGGCGGAACGACGAGGTGCCTGGCTTTGGGGATGCTCTGGCCTTTTCAACGCCTGGAAGGAACCATAAGACACCGTAACTTTAGAGCAATCATTATGCGGATAACTTGCTTCTGAACTTTGGCTTGCTGGGTCTGGGGTACTTGGCGGTGGCAAGAATAACTTGGCATGGGGCCAAATCAAAGGTGCTGGCTGGCAGTCAAGGTTCCAATTCAACATGTTGAAGCCACACCGTTCAAGTCCGCAGTAAAGTCTGCAGCAGAATTACATGTATTTCACGGTCCTGTTTCGTCCAAGACTTTGCATGCAGAGCCACACCTCCGTCGGCAGGGACTCTTGCAGCCTCTTCTCCTGCGTATTGCTCGCGATCGTGATCATGCAAAGGTGTCGGTGCTCCAACTCCAGCCCTAAACCCTAAACCCAGACTGAGGCAAGACATGCCGGTCTTGTGCACAGAGTGACAGGCCAAGCTTTTCTCGCGTCCAGGCGCTCCAGGTCACTGCTCGTCTTCCGAGGGCCGGCCTGTTGTCGCGCAAGCGGAGTGTCTGTATTATTAAAAGTGATAATAATAATAATAATGACAATGACAATAATAACAGTAATAATAATCACAGTTTGATGTCACACAGAGAGGTTCTCTGTAAACCACAGTATGTAACATAATACTGGTGAGAGATCCACACAAAAATCTCTCCCATTGTAGTATGTTTTTTCTGCCCGCCTTTCATGATAGTAACCCTAAACCCTAAACCCTAAACCCTGAACCCTGAACCCTGAACCCTAAACCCTAAACCCTGAACCCTAAACCCTAAACCTTAAACCCTGAACCTTGAACCCTAAACCCTGAACCCTAAACCCTAAACCCTGAACCCTAAACCCTAAACCCTACACCCTAAATTATAGTGGTATCCATGAGCCCGGATTCCCTGGTTTTCTCCACGAGGGCCTGCGCTCGAAGGGCCTTGCTGCTCTGCAGCAGGGCTGGGCGCAGGTGCAGGAGCCTCGCCACACCAGAGACGCATACTAAGACTATTATTATTATTATTATTGTTATTCTTTTTCTTCTTCTTATGATTATTGTTATTGTTACTATTATTATATTTATTCTTATTATTGCTATAACTATTATTAATTATTATTATTATCTTGCTCGCTCTTCATGGCATGGTGGAGCGGAGGTGTAGAAGGTGTCGCACTGGATGCAATGTATCTTTACATGGAGCCGCCTGGGCAGTCGCCATGTACTCCCTGTGGTCAATCCTCAGGCACCGCATGCTGATGCGCAGCCGGATACCCAAACTGCATGTCAAGCTGGTGGTCACGACGTATGTGAACCATGCCTTGAAAGCCGATGTGCTGATTCCATGATCGGACTAATTGCATGCAGTCACGGCTCAATGTCGAATCTACGTGCTCTCTGGGAATGCTTTGCAGCACTCCATACTGCCCAACCCATGCCAGGCGAAGTTTCAACATTTGCATGGGCTGAGCTCCAGTCGCGCCAATTGCTTCTGGGACCTTCGCAGCGAAGGTGTTGATGGCCCGCTACAATGCTTATGAGTGACTTATGAGCCTTCATTGTCTTGCGATATTGCTATAGTGTTGTGTCCTGATTTCACCTCTAAGCCTAGCAAGAAAACACGCTGACGAGCACCCAACATTGGCAGCTAGCAAGCACGCGAAATCACGAAACCGAGTCCCCTGGACCGGAGACCACGCTGAAGGTTGGACTGCTAGATGAAACTGAAGTGACTAAAGTAGCACAAGTTGTCTCTTGGGCCACAAAGTCTTGAGGATTTCGGCATCGCATGCTTGGGTTTCGAGACCGGCCGAGATGCATCAACAAAAAAACGTGCAAAATCACTAGTCACACACTGGGCACAAGCAAAGAGCCCATCTGGACCAGGCCTTGGCGAGCCCTTTCCATGCCACTTCTCCCCCTTCTGCAGCTGCCGAGATCGACCTCGCGCGAAGCATTCCGAAGTCACGAAGGCTCGCGCGCGGAATCCACTTCCACTTCCATGTGGCATTCCCGCTAAGATGGTGGTAGCATAACAATCCTGGAACATCATTGCCGGAGAGTATGCGTACGTGCTGTCTGCAGGGCTTATCTCTGAACATGGCCTCGCAAAGGAACGGCCAGGCACATGCAGGTTAGGACGACACATCAATCGCGCAGGTCGCGAGACGAAAAAACACTCCCAGACCTCTGTGAAATGTGAAGAAGGCTCCCAGTAGGCTCCGGAACAAGAGCCGAAAACTCCGAAGACCCCCATTGCGAAGCTGCTTTGGGACCAGGCTTGGCTGCCGGAGAGGCTGCGGCTGCGGCGCCTGGGAAGGGGGGGGGGTCAGACGCTCGAGCCTTCCTGTTTTTCTGTGCAAAGATCTGCGAGGCCCTTCTTCAGGATTTGTACATTGTATATGTGGTGTGCGGAAGACTGAGCTCGGGCACTTGTCTGCGCATTCGTCTCAAGCCGGTAAGCGAACGGCAGGTCTGGCCACAATTCCGCATCGCAAGCTGCAGTCGTGACGCTTGACTACATCAACCTCATGCTGAACTGCAGTTGCTGCGAGTTTCCAAAAAAATCATAGAGCCGTGCGAGCTCATTTCGGCCACTGCTTGTCGGGGCTAGTCCAGTCGAGGGGGCAATTGCAAGCTCTCTCATTCAGGCGCCAGGTCTGCCGTGCAAAGCCGCCAAACCAACACGTGCAACGAGCCCTCTGTCCGACATCACTGTAAAGAGAGGCTTCTCAACTCCGAAGTTGGGCCGATGAGGTTCAAGACACCCACGGCGCCTATAGTCTTGTTGTGGCAGCCCCTCAGTGCGTGGGATCTACGGCTCTGACAGATAAAAACAGCTGAAGATGCAGTGTGTGTGTGTGTGTGAAACTGAAGAGCAAGAGCACTCCATCAGACTCTGCCGAGCTCCCAACCCTTTGGGGCCTCAAACAAAGGCGAGACAGCCAGACGATGTGCGCTCTCAAGCACGGCACAGTGTCTCAGGGCTTGGCAAGTAAGCTTGCAATCCGGCTTCACGCAAGTCTTCATGTCAATCTTACCTGGGAAGCTGCAAATCTCCAGCAGTTCACGAGCGGTGTATCGCCACACCTCGAGCATGCCCTACCTAACTCTCTTCTGAAGTAAAATATGTACCTCTGACTCTCTGACTGGGATGGAAAGCAAGCCAAGTTGAGGCATGAGGCAGTCGAAGTGGCACACCGGATCTTCGCAGCGGGTCTCACACCTGCCACTCCATGGGCTTGTGCAGCGCACACGTCATGCCAACCTTTCGGCATCTCAAACTGGCAAGAAATGAGGCGCCCACCCACTTCCAGGGCACTCCATGTGACACTCTGCTTCGCCACAGACAGTACTGCATGCCGGCGGCGGGCCTCCAGCCGCGCAGTCTGCATTGGCCAATACTTCCGAGTTCTTCGCAAGACTTCACAGAAGAATCGACTTCACCACGGTGTGGTGCAGCCACAAGTTGACATGCAGCTTCCGAGATACTCCATTGGAAGTGCAGCTTCCTCGTAGGGGCCCGGCAATTCTCTGAATGGCAAGTCTGTGGTGGACATACCACCGTGCACTTGGGATCCTGATGCCAAAGCGACAGTTGCATGATTGGTTGCTGGTCGCAGACTGAGGCCGGAACCTTGCAGACGTGCCGGCAGTCCTAGCGGGACCATGTGTGTGAGGCAGTCAGAAAACTCTCCTCCCCGGCTTCGTCCTGCTCTTGTGGCTTCTTACATGCTGTGAAGCATCGGGGCGGCTGGCAGACCTTCAGCCGTGTGGGCTCCAAGAAGTGTCAACGACCCAGCGCGACAGCAGCGAACATGCTTAATCTGCAAAGCCGATCAGTTAGTACAGGACGGTAACGACCATCAAAGACGATCGACACTTCACAGAGTATTGAGCTGCATAGCGCCGTCGCGTGCATGTGACATGTGCACTTGAGAACTCGACTGTGACAAGCAATGTTGATGTTGCCACGATGTGCTGGCATGATGTGCTTTTTCTGCTTCGAGCTTCCGAATTGCTTGAGGTTTCCGCGGAGATGGAGTTGAGTGCAAACAGGATTTCTACCCAGAATCGTCACATAACTCATCAGGTAGCGGTAGCAACTTGGCCTTGCAACCAATGCCTTGTCTGAACGGTGTGTCAGGGTGTGCACATCTCTCCGGCTGTGAAGACAGATCTTGCGAAGCATGAGACTAATTCGACGGCTCCGAGGGCCGCTCCGCTTTGCAAGACTGACTGCACTCCGGAGTGCCGCAGTCCCAGGCCTGGGCTTCGGGACAGCCGAAGTCTTCGAATTGCTGTGATTCTGTCATCCACGACGACGACTGCCAAGTGACGACTAAGACTACTAGCATACTTGTAGCAGTACCGGTAATTACTGAGTATTAATGCCAGCCATTGCTCACACTTCCACTGTTGTTACCTGCCACCTATCCTACTCCCACTCCGTCTCCTCCTCCTCCTCTTCCTGCTACTGCTGCTACTACTGATACTACTGCCGCTGCTTACTGCCACTCCTACTCCTTCGCCTCCCCGTCCTCCTCGTACTACAATACTGCCAGGTAAAACCACAATATACATGTACGTTTGTGGCTCAAAGCCGTATGACAAGCGATGACAACTGCAACAGTGCAGGCAACAAAGCAATGCTGGCAATAATGATGATGGTGATGATCTTCTTCCTCCTCATCATCCTGATCAACATCCACATCTTCATCAGCAACATCGAATAGTCAGTGTTTGCCGCAAACATGTTAAATCAGCATAGGTCGTCAGAAGGCGACTCCGGAGCATCTTGGGCCAAGGACGCAAGGGGCGTTGCAATCGGCAGGCTCGGCTTTTGCAAAGCCTCAGTCGAGATAAAGGGGGCAAGGGCGGGCACCGTTACTTCTCAGGGTGCTGTTTTGGCCTACCGGGCTCCAGACTTGCGTACCAGGCGCGATCCTGCCTCGGGGAAGCGGCGGACGGGTCCCTTCATCGTGTGGGTGCAAACCACGAGATCTTACTGTACGAGCACTCTTTCGACCTCTAAGCTTGCTGCGAATCCATGGAACTCTGAGATCCAGGCGATCTGAGTAGCACAGCCGAATCTACAATAGGCGCCGCGAGAGCGGCGAAGAACAGAACCTTCATTGCTCGGAAGCCCGTTCCCGCATCCTTGGTGAGCCATCGCAGGTTGGGTGTAGTACAGCACCAACGTATGCAGCGTCATATGGACATGCTTTGTGGTACCCGCCTGTTTGATTCTGTTTCGAGCCTTTATGTGATCTTAGGCTCCTGCAGGAAGGCGAGAAAAGCACTTTGGCTTTCGGCGGCCCACAGCTACGTGGAGCCAGACTGACCGACGGCCAAGGTGATTGTTTCATGGACAGCTAGCACAGAAGATCACGTTTTCCAGAGGCAGAATGTGACAACTTAGCCGTCCATGTGACGACACACTAAAAACGACACACATCGGGGCATACCACGACCAAATCGGGTGTGGTCCAGAAGCGTGGAAGTCTTCGTTCTCGAGTTTCAGAAGAAATGGGAGCCGAATATGAAAACGCAGGTAGGATCACTTTTATATAAGGTGTTCCCGCCATATGGTACTGTATCCTTGCCTTTCGGAAACCTTGTAGAATTCTCACCAACCTTACGCGAAGCATCAGCAACCCTTCTGTCACGCCTTCCAAGAAACCCAGTATGGCATCGCAATATATATATATATATAATGGTAATATAAAACAATAATATATATATATATAATATAATATAATATAATATAATATAATATAATATAATATAATATAATATAATATAATATAAGATAAGATAATATAAGATAATATAATATAATATAATATAATATAATATAATATAATGTAATAAAATATAATATAATATAATATAATGTAATAAAATAAAATAAAATAAAATATAATATAATATAATATAATATATAAATACTTACTGTCCTCCAGTCTCTGCAGTCGCTGCAGGCCGTCTTCATAGAGGCGCCTTGCGAGGAAGCGAACGCGAGCGCCCAAGGCGTTGTCTAGTCTGAAGTCAGGGGCAGCTCCCAAGTCAGAGCCGCAGGGACTTAGTAACTGAGGTTGTGACTAAGGTATACTTTTAATTACTTGTAACCCTAAATAAGGTACTTCTAACCCTCCCGCAATGCGCAAACCAAGTTGACGACTCATGAGGGATGCAATCGAAGAGAGCGCTGGACACGCAACCAAACGTAAATTGCAAGCCTCTGGCGAGTGCGCCTTGTTCTGAGCTCCAAGTCCGCTACCGAAAGCGTGCGGGTGTGGACAGAGCCTGAGGCTCTTAAGCCCATCCGTCGAACATAGCACAGTACGCAGCCAAGCCGCACATAATGAGACACTTCGAGGGTTGAAGCGACACGCACCGCCAATCAGACTCTGTGCATCTCTGTGCGGCCCCTGAGTGAGCCGCTCTCAGCCAGCTCGCGCACTTGGGAGGCAACCTTGCAAATGATAGTGATCATCAAGAATCTGGCAGGACGCAGTAAATGTAGCAGTGGCAGGTTTACCGATACAGCATCATGGTCATGCTCTCACTGGTAGCAACGCTACTAGCAGCACTTGCATCAGTTTGAATCTCAGCTTAGGCAAGAGATGCCCTGTTGGGAGGGCATCAAAGTGTCAACCTTCCAATGCCAACGCAACCTTGACAGGTCATTGCCATCCCCCGTCTTGTGTAAAGTACTTGCCGTTGTTGGCTGTCACAGCTGCGAGCCTCTGCAGCTTTGCGCTGTTCCCGGCGGCGCTCACGGCTTTCGCTTTCGCCATAGAGTCGGTCGAAGATCTGTTCGATTTTTCACACCCAGGAGAAAATGGAGCTCAACTGCCACAAGGCGAGTTGGGAGTGACACAAAACGTCCGACTGCATTCTGCAAGTCCCCACAACTCAAAGCCAATGCTGCTTTCCTTTCAGACTCGTCAGTGGCTTGAGAAATCAGTTGACTGGCTTCTCGTCTTGTTTGAGAACAGCACGTACTGTAAAGTCCACGGTTTGCCAAGCTTTCCTGCCTTTCAAACTGCTGCCACTGTCGAGCTGAAGGTTTGAACATACAACCGAGACCCTTGGAAGTGGAGAAGGTAGCGAGAAAAGCAGGCGGTCGTTACAGGGCAGTCGAAGCACAAACTTGGACACGGCGCAAGGGCCACTGCCAACTCGTACAAGTAGTGGCAGTGAGTGGCGGCCGACAACAGCAACAGCAGGAGGAGAAGTGGGAAGTAGTAGGAGTAGGAGTAGGAGTGGCAGCAGCAGGAGGAGCAGCAACTGCAGCAGCAGCAGCAGCAGCAGCAGTAGTAGCAGTAGCGGTAGGAATAGGAGCAGCAACAGTCGTCGTCGTCGGCGCCGTAGTAGTCGTCGTGGTCGTAGCCGTTCGTCGCTCATGGATAGTAGTAGCTTACGGCTTCTGGTGATTTGTTGATCCAGACTGGCTTCTTCTACACAAATGCCACCATCACCACCAACACGACGACGAGGACCACGACCCCTGCTGCCTTTTAAGCCTCAACTCGCTGATACTGTCTCGGATACATGATGCATGCGACTGGCCTCTGCCGCCTCTGTCTTGTCGCTGCTGCGATGGATGCAATGCTGCGCCTTTTCCAGTGATGGCATGCTGAAAGAGTGCACAAAAAACTGACAGCCGCCACGAGATGCCTACTTGGAGGTTCATGGGTAGTTATAAGTGGTGTTAAGTAGGGTAACCATACTTATAACCCATCTTAGGGGACTTATAACTCCACTTATAACTACCCATGAACCTCCAAGTACTGCAGCGTAGACGACCTTAAATCACAATATTAAGGCCCCTAAAATTCAAGGTCTATTCCTTAATTAAGGAGTATTGGGCTCTCTGGGACTGCAGCGCAGACGAAGCTTCGATCCGAATAAAAAAAGGGCTCCCGGCCAGCCAGCGCTCCTCCTCTTCTGCAGCTCGCTTCCGTTCATCCCCAAGACGCTTCTGGCGGGCTTAGGGAAAGGAAGGGATCCTTTTTTAGGGGTTTAGGGGTTTAGGGTTTAGGGTGCCTTCAGGAATCACCTGGGGGGAGGTAGCAGGTAGAGAGTAGAATCGTAGAAGCAGCCTCCCTGCCTCTTTGAGAGGCGCGCTGTGGTAAAGCTGCTCCCAGCGTGGAGGCCCCTCCACCTCGCCAACAGGGCTCCCCAGTCTGCTCAAGCGCAAAAGGATGGCACTCAGGAACCTGGAGTCGGTACGGGGGTTTCTGAAAATAGGGGACCCTAATATAGTACCCTAAATAATAGGACCCTTCTTATAAGGACCCCAAAATAAAGTATCCCTAATTTTCGGAAACTCCCGTATCAGCCAGGGACAGTCCAGCAACCCGCCTGACTCCTCAGGGAAGAGGTGGAGCACTGGGAGCTGAGAGTCTCCTGCTTCGAAGCTTGGTTTAGGGTTTAGGGTTTAGGGTTTAGGGTTTCAGCGGCTAACGAACGCAAGGCTTGAGCCCACATGGGGGTTTCAGAAAATAGGGGACCCTAATATAGTACCCTAAATAGTAGGATCCCTATTATAAGGACCCCAAAAAGGTACCCCTTATTTTCGGAAACCACCCACATTTTCGAACTCTGAAAACATCTGAAAAGCCGCAACCTGCGCCCAGCTGGCCCGCCTCCTGCTCGCGCTCCACCTGCCTCCTGAGAGCTGAGGGCTGTGTGGTTTAGGGTTGAGGGTTGAGGGTTTAGGGTTTAGCAAAAAACTTTTAGACTTCTGTGCGCCGTCCTTCGCCGGTGAGCCGCCTCCTGATACAGGCGCCCGTAGATCTGCAAGGCCTGCGAAGTGCCACGGTACTTCATCGAAGCGAGCACAAATGCAGGTCGCGCCGTTCAAAAGACTGTTTCTCCAGTTGATAACCTGCACCAAATCAGCAAGCGTCCTGCCTCCTCTTCTGAGGAGCAGGTGCGTACCGTGCAGCGCTTCCTGTCGTGTTTTGGGTTGGATTTAGCTGTCAGCTTTTGGGTGGCTCAGCTTCCTGTTGCTATGCAACTTATGCAACCAGTCCTTCTGAACGACCGAAACTCACTGCAATGGGACACCGGTCAAGTTGCAGGATAGCTGCTATATCCTGGCAAACACCTTGGGAACATGCCCGAACCTTGAGGAAGCCCACGAAAGCCGTGCGACATGCCGGCTCGACAGCGTCTCGGCCTGGGCCTCTACTTGCTGAGCCGCCAGCTTCTGCAATCGGTGGAGAATGCTCTTCGGGTTCCGTCAAGCGGTAGGGTCTGGTCTCTTCAGGGCCCTTCCCTGATCTTGAAACGGGCACCTGCCACCCCATGGCTGCTAGGACACCGACGAACCTGCACCAGCGCCTTCTTTTCCAGACTTGCCTGAGCGGCGCCACGAGTTCAAAGTTACGGTTGAAGCCGCCAGCTCGACATTGCCCTGCACCCCTCTCCCTCCATTGCAACGGAGACTCTCAAGGTTTTGCTTCCCATCGAAACTAGCCACAAGTATCATGGTATCATGCTGTCATACACACACCTTGATCGCGACACGCCCAAATACAGAATCAAGTGCACCAAGGCGAGTCAAGCGAGAATTCAAGTGGCTGTTAAGCATACGGGACGACTGTCCTTGAGGAATGCCAATTCTACCCACCCTCCAGCCCACAGACAATGTGGAAATCAAAGTTGCATCCGCAAACACGTTGGTTTTGTTCGTGGGATCCGCAAAGGCTGACAGCCCTTCCTAGCCTAGATATGATCTAAAACGTTCTGTATAGGCGATTGGGGCGGCGGTGAGCTCAAAAAAAATAATATTGTTACTTGATCTACCTGGGAGCCACGAGCTGCTGCTATACACATGCTCTGCAAAGCTGGAAGACATTGCGACAGGAGACACTTCACAAGTGCTACGCTTCGCTCCGACCATCCCAGTCTGCAGCCAAGGATCTGCATGGTAGGCGTGAAGCCGCTCGAACACGTCAGTGGTCGAAGGCTTCAGGGACTGGCACCAGGTGTGTTCCACTGCATGGCGGCACAGGATCTACAGAGGCGATCACAGGCGAGAGTTCGTCCTAGGTTTCGCTGGAATCCGCAGTGCCAAGATCACGCCTGGCCGGGAGCGACGCGGATCTTCTCCTCCTCGCCCAGCAAAGCGCAAAACTTTTCAATCCAACGAAGAACTCTGGCCCGAGGCCCGCATGCGCACCTCCTGGGGCTGCTCCGGGGCCGGGGTGTCTGGCATCCCGTGCTCCGAAGTCTCCGAAGTCTCGTTTCCTTCCGGAAAGGAGCCTCCGGCGGCGGTCAGGTGCCGACTCGGCTGACTGAAGCTTTGCACTCCGGACCTGGATCCTCCTGCGGCCTTCCGGTCCATCGTCCCTGGGAGAGTGCAAGGAAAATGGTGCATTTCTGACACATGAATCGGTTCTTCCACTCATCCGCTCGCGCGAACGGCAGCATCGTTCACAGGGACCGCTGTGCAGAAGAAACCGCAACACAAAGATCTCTTGCCGAACATGTCACAATCCTGTCTGACCTTAAGTTTCTTACCCCGGCCTTGCCATCAGCAATCTCTGCTGCACGATGTTTTGTGCGCGCGAGTGAAACGGCCTGGCCGGCGAAAGCGCTTCGTCCGAAAATCTTGGCCTGGGTTTCCACGAGTGGACTCCTGCCATGTCGTGCCTTCTGCACAGCCATGAGAGACAGCGCGTCTGCAAAGCATGGTCTGCGAGCGGCCTTCCTACCTACAGTTGTCTGATGCTGTCTTCCTTCGGAGGCTTTTTGTTTTTGATCAGCCGACTTGAGACATTGCAAGCCGGAGTGGGGGCCTTCTTGCGGTCTTGGGTAGGTGACTTCTGCGGTTCTCGAGTTGTGCACTTGTACCATTCCGCTTATCTTGGAGCCCAAAAGATTCCCAGAAGCTGTTGTGTGATGAGGTGCTCTTCTTAGACATCAAGAGCACAGACGAGCACGGCAGACTCTTCTCGCTCGGTTTTCGCCACAAACCGCTTCGGCTTCCGGGCTGCGGCTATCGCGCGATAGCCCTGCTACGCCTCCTGCGCTGTTGTGTGGACGCTTGGGGTGAAACAAGCCTTTCAAGCATCTCCCAAGGAAGAGGACTGGTCGCCCGTCATGAAAGACAGCAACCTCGGGCATCCTCCTCTTCCTCCTCTTCCTGCTCGTCGTCTGCAGCACTCGCCTGGCTTGTGAATCTTTGCTGTGCAGGGATGCAATGGTGACATCACTCTCTATTCAAGTGACAGTCCAACCGCTGCACTGGGATTGCGCCTTGGCTGCTGAAGGCCCTGGCAGGGATTTCTGTCGGCCCAGTTCCGCCGCAGGAATCAATGTATGTCGTTGTCCCATGTGCTCAAGATTGCCAAAGGATTCAAGCAGCGCAGCAGAACAAAGAGCGATGAAGCGCGGAAACTTATGCACGGGCCTCTCGGTTGTTTTCGCATTTTGGCATTGCGACCGCGAGCCTGATCACAGCATGCACGAACTGAGCCGAGCACCCTACAAACCTGCTACACCTGTTCATGCACTTTTGGTATATTATACCATATAGTAACTTTTGGTATAGTATAGTATATTATAGTCTATGATAGTCTATTATAGTGACTCCCTGAACTCCCAAGCCGGCTCTGCCTTTGGCTGGCTAGGGGCTCGAGGTTCAGCTGCCGAATCCTGACCAGCAGTCCTATCCTTTGCTTGGCAATTCTGGCTGTCAACGGTCATGGGCATGAAGCCTGCTATGTGAACATACAAGATCATACTTGGAGGTTTATGGGTAGTTATAAGTGGAGTTACAAGTACCCTAACATGGGCTATAATCACAGTTACCCTACTTATCACCCCACTTAGAACTACCCATGAACCCTAAACTCGAAACCCTAAAAAAACCCTAAACCCTAAACCATAACCCCACTTATAACTACCCATGAACTGCCAAGTACAAGTTCAACTCCAACCCAGCTTCCCAGAGAGCCCAATACTCCTTAATCAAGGAATATACCTTAAATGATAGGGGCCTTAATATTATGATTTACGGTACATTCCTTAATTTAGGAATATACCCTAAATTATGATTTAAGGTGTATTCCTTAATTAAGGGGTATTCGGCTCTCTGGCTCCCTTCTCCCTTCTCCCTTCCCGCCGGCCTCGGCTCCTGGCTCGGCTTCCTCTGCTTTCCCCGTTGCCGCCAAGACCTTCGCTTCGTTTTTATGGGCGGGTAGGGTCTCTAAATTAGGGTCCCTTTTAAGGGGTCCTTTTTTAATAAGGGTGCCGTACTATATTGGGGACCCCAAAAAGGGACCCTAATTTAGAAAACTGCCCATGGCCCTCTCAGTTTTTCGGGCTTTTTGCCATCCGACGCAACTGAGACAAGCACCAAGATGCTCACCACATCATGGCACACCGACACCACCTGCGATCGGGGTCGTCTTCAGGCTGAAAGGGGCAGGGGCCCACTTCACTCCATTCAACGCTCATAGCAGCCCATTGTGAGAATTCTTCATAGTAGGCCTTATGAAAACCCTGTATGGATCGTTATAGCAGTTATAGCAACCCTTATCTTCCGAGACGTTCTGGCGAGCGGCGAGCGTCAGGAGGCCCCAGACTGTCCCGAGCGCGACTTTCAGCCCCGACCAAAAGTTGCCGACCTGCGGGAAATGAGGGTTTCAGAAATTTGGGGACACTTCTTAATTAGTGTCAGAGGTGTTGATTGGGCTCTTGGAGGGCGTATACGGATTCCAGAAGGTTTCCAAAAATTTGGGGGCTCCTTACTTTGGAGGTCCTTTCAAGAACGATCCTTTGCTTTTTGTTGAGCTCCTTTCTCCACCTGCTCCAAGAGGGTTTAAAAGGTTACGGTTCCCCAAATTCTGATACAAACGCTGTGCGGACCCGCTGCAGGAATATTGCAGCCTTGCTAAACCTTGCATTTCGGATAGTGTCGTCGGTGGAGCAACTTAGCCAAATCTGGACGATGCGGACACGTATTGGGCCGTGTTGGGCATGACAGCGAAAGTCGCTGCATCTTCAGCAGGGACATACAGTGGCGGTGCGGAATGTAGTCTACGGACATGGTATTTGCAACATGCAAATTTATGTATTCCGGCTAGTGACAGACATCACTAAGTTTCCATTACTACACGCATCTGAATGCCAAGATCTTGTTTCTGACAGCGGCGCACCCAAGTCCTCCACCCAGGCGGTTGGACCTGCTCATATTAAGTGCTACCTACTGGTAAGATATTAGTGACTCAAATATCCAGGCAAGCGACGGCAAAGCAAGTCGAGACTGCCCCCTGCATCTCAAGAACTGCACCCAAGCTTTCAGGGCCTTCACCGGGAAGTCTAGAAGCAGCTGCCGTGCCTGCCAATCCGACCAGACCACAATTTTCGCATCACGCCATAGTCATAGAGGATTCTATTGAAGTTCATGCAGGCTTCGGTAGTAGTAAAAGGATGTAAAAGGTAGCGTTTTCGGTTCAGGGCTGGAACACGATTCAAGCCTTTTCCTTTGGCAACTCCGTGAGCACTAAAGTGATGCCATATTGTTTGGCCAAAGGCTATGGTGTGGCATGAACTACTGGTAGGCTTCTGTTGGCAATGTAACTTTGCGTTTGTATCCCATCTACGGAGTCTTCATCTCGTGCTGGCTTCTACATCTTCTCCTGTGTTTTGGGCTTCCGTTGCTCTACGACGACTGCTACGTACGCTGCTGCTCTTGTGACGATTATACTGTATATTATATATTATATATTATATATTATATATTATATATTACATTATATATTATATTATATATTATGTATTATATTATATATCATATTTTGTATTATACTATATATTATATTCTATATTTTATTATTTATTATATTATTCTGTCTCTTCCGTTTCAGCCCTGATGCCACAGCTTTTCGGCCTCCATGGCCAAGCGGCGGAGTTCGGGGGAGCCCTTGGGGCCCTCAGCGTGAGCCTTAGACGGGCAGAAGACATCAGAAGCCACGGTTTAGGGTTTAGGGTTTAGGGTGGAAATGACGGCCAGGGAAGGAGAGGCTCAAGCAAACCCACGGTTTAGGGTTTTGGGGTTAGGGTTAGGCTTTAGGGTTCTTGGGTTAGGGTTAGGGTTTAGGGTTACGCTTGAACCCTGGTACAGGTTTTCAAGCATGAAAGCATGGGCAAGCGCGCTGGCTCCCGACTGTCCAGGCTCTGCTGGCAGCCGAGTTGTAGGATTTCGTGGCTCTGGCGATCTCTGCTCTGTTACCATGGGACCCAAGAAACCCCAAACCCTAAACCCCTAAACCCCAAACCCTAAACCCCAAACCCCCAAACCCCTCAACCCTAAACCCTGCAGAGCCCGTCGTTTTGGAAATCAGTCGAAACGTGGTGCGAGAGGAAGCAAAAAGCCCAAAGGCAGCTGCAACATCGGAGCCTTCAAATGCTCCGAGCACAGGAAATCAAACTACTGTTACATTTTAGGGTTTAGGGTTTAGGGGTTAGGAGCCTTAATAATTACCAATACTATTTTGGGGGGTCCTTGATTAAACTTACAGTATTATGGGCCCCAAAACCCTATTCCAATGATGTGTCTTGCGCATAGCTTCGAGAAGCATGAAACAGATGTCGGATTGCACGAAGCGTGTCTGCGGCGAATCTCTGCTCTAGACTAACCTACCTGCATGATGCCCATCAACAGTTTGGTACCTGAAAGTGAGTTCTCAGCTTCTCAAGCATGCCAGAAAGGACCTGGCAAAGAATTTCGGAGTTGAGTGCATAATAACGACCTGTGAAGATTCCCGGTCTTCGAGTCTCCCAGTGTCAAGTAAGTTCCATCGGCAACTCACGGCCAGACGAATTCAAGAAGTCATGGTTCATAAGCTTGCAGGCTCGAGGGCGCTCCTTCGGAGCCCGTCGCGTGCAAATACTCACGAGGTCCCGCAGGTGGGGGCTGACCTCGTCTTCGAGTGGTGGCGACTTGTCGCAGCAAGCAATATGCATCATGGCCGCCATCTGTGAGGAAAACTTGCCCCAAGGGGGCTGGGCTGTAATCATCTCAATCAATGTGCATCCAAAGCTCCAAATATCGGC